CTCCCAAAGTGCTGGGATCACAGGCTTGAGCCACCGCGCCCGGCTTGATTTCCCTTCTTTTGAGTATATACCTAGCAGTGAGATGGCTGGATGGCATGGTAGCTCTACTTTTAGTTTTTTCAGGTACCTCTAAACTGTCCTATAGTGATTATACAAACTGAGGTGAGATTTTTATCCTTTCATATGTCTTGGGCTCCTAAATAAACTGTTTTGGAGGAAAATCATTTTTATTTTCCTTCAGAAGTTGTAAGTTTCTACTGTATTGTACCATACTGATAATCAGACACTCAGAGACACTATCATAATACCAAGAATAAAATTAAAATGTAAATTTCCTGGTTTTGATTTTTAATGGTTTTTAAGGACAATGAGACTTACAGGGGGTGTATGCCTCTAGTCCTAACATTTTAAAATCAACATGTCTGATCAGGAAATCAATTAGAAAAATTCACATCTTTCAATTAATCCCATTTCTCTCCTTATCAATAATGACATAATTGCTCATACATGAACACTGTGGTAATTCACTCAGGGTGATAGCAAAAACATTAAAAATTATTAGCAATAGCTTTAACAAATAACCACAAACCTTGGAAGGCTGAGAGGTTTTTGCATAGAAGTTTTGGCTAAAGGCAGCCTAAATCCCCTCTACATTTAGCTAATAAGAAAAGCAAATAGCTAGGATATGTGGGAGAGTTTATCTGCATAACTTGTTTACTCATTCGGTCCTAAAACTAACCGTTGAGCCAGATGGTCCTCTTGGGGGAGGTAGATCAGGGAGATTACCCTCTAAGGGTGTTTGCATTAGGCCCTGGAATCTGGCCTTAATCTTTCTCCACAAGTGTGTTGACTTAGAGCCTCTGTTATTAAATCTGTACTGAATAAATGCGGAGAGGGCCAACTGGTCAGAGTGGTGTAGCTGCAATCTCTCTGTGTGAGCGGCACATGACCCCCTAGCCCACTCGTTCACCGGAAATTTGTGTCTGAGTACATTCATTCATCTATCATGCAGCTGGGGTCTGTGGGATGGATCCTGGCAGTAATTACTGAACATGTACTTTTGTTCAATAATTACTGAAAAAAAAGTATTGCTGACCTCACTATGTAACATACTATACAATTATGTTATGTTTATAATACCAATGAGCAAACAAGCAATACATATTTCAATAAGTAGAAATTATAGTAAATTTATGATTATTTAGTACAAAGATGCATAGGAGGCAAATAAATTTAAAATATGGAAGCTTCCAGGACCCTTGTGTATGCTACTTCCTATCTCTGAACACTCTTTCCATGTACTCTTCACATGCAGGGTATCTTCTGCCCATCTCCTAGGAGACCTCTGACCATCTTTCTTAAGTAGCTGTTCCTCTGTTATTCTTCTATCTGAACCCTATTATAAGGGTATAATTGATACTAATTATCATAATTAGTAATTATGTATTGGTCTCCTCCACAAAAGTATAAGCTTCATGAGCCACGTGACCATATGTATCTCACCTCTCACTGCATTCACAGCAACTGGTAGATGCACAATCAATATTGTTGAATGAACTCCTTATTTACATAGCATATTTTTTTTAAATCACATATTTCAAAAACTCTGAGCCAAAGGAAAAAAAGAAAGGTTCCTGGATTTCAAAACTAGAACTACTCTTGATTATTTAAGTCTTACCTTTACCAGAAGCTAGATATGACATTTTGCAAATCTCTTAAAATTTCTGGACTTCAGATGTCACATTATTTGAAAGGCAGTGAAGCTAAATCAAACAATCTCTTAAGATTCTGCATGGCTCTAAGAGTTACAATTTTATAATATATAAGGTATTTTTAAATACTAAGTGATAGTGGTATAAAACACGTTAAGACAATACAAAATTAAATAATCATTTACTTTTTGTAAATCAAACCAAGCATGCAAACCAACAGTAACATAACTAGGTCTTTATGCTGCTGAGTCATAAATGACATACGTTTGGCATTTTTTCCCATACTTTTTTTTAATACAAAAGTCAAGGACTACAAATCAGGAAATGATTGGTATTATACACGTTTGAATAAACAGACTTTAGAAGTAATGAGTGAAGATATATAACAGACTAATGGTTTGTGTTGTATTAAAGTATATTTAGTGTATATTATACAATACAAAATTTGAGTGTATTAAATACACTGAATACACCAAAGTACACTAAATGTATTTAATGTATCATATTCCATGTATTTAATACTTTAACATTTATTGTAAAAATTTCCAGTGGTTGGTTTTATTCCTTTCATTCTGTATTTTTTAAATAAAATTTTGCAATAGCTACATTTCAACTAAGACCTGCATTACTCATACAGGTTTGAGCTCTGTTCTTGTTAATGTGTGAATTTAAAATCACATAAAAGCCATTCTTGAAGTATATTTTTCACTTCATATTTTTCAATTATGGGAACCAAAGCTATCAAATGATTTATCATGTAATTTATTTTTTCACTGTCTTTAGATGTTTTAGAGACATCTAATTCAAATTATACAAATTTGATTTTATTCTCATATTTTGATATGACAAATACTGTTATTTCTATTAAGTAAATATTCAATATAATTCTATTAATTTTTAAATTATTTAAGAATCCAAATATCTAACATAGACTATTTTTGGTATGTGGGAAGAAATGCAGTTTCACTTTTCTTACTTTCAAATAACACAGTACAGGAAACTAACA